ATTTTATTTTTGCATTTGTTTGTTTTAATTTCACCTGAGGCTACACAAAAACTTTTCCAAAATTTAGAGTACTTATATTTGCTTTCAAAATAATTCCTCCTCTGTTTTCCTATTTAATTTATTTTTGGCTTTTAGGGACAGGATCTCAGTATGTAGTGGAGGCTGGCCTCAACCTCGCAGTGGTCCTGCCTCAGCTTCCCAGGTGCTAGGATTATAGATGTGCGCCACCATGCCTGGCTCCTGCTCCAGGTTTTAGAGAGATATGAAGATTAACTGGCTCATAATAATAAACAGCAAGGAAGTCCTCTTCTAATGAAATTCAGAAACTCTAAACCTCCATTCTTATACTGTTTTTAGTGAGTCCTTTCTACTTTTTCTGGAAGAAAGAAGTACTTTCAAAAGAAAATGAGTAAGAGCTATTCCAAAGTACATTCTAACGACTATTTTAACAAAATTCTGAAACTTCATTAAAATAATCTTTACATTATTTTTGTTACATTATCAATTTGTTCTGATTCTATAGTTTAATGAAGACAGGGAAGGTCAAGTGTACGAAGAAATAGCCATTTCGGAAGGGTGTAGGATCAGTGAAAATGGATTGGGTATTTGACATGTGTTCAGTAAATTCACTATGATGGCACGTACAGTGCTCATTCGGGGAGGGATTTTTGATACACGATCCTTCTATCCCTCCTAGTGTGCTGCTACACATCACAGCTGGGGTTGCTGTAGGGTTAATCTCAGCATATCCCAATACTATCAGTTACGAATGCTAACTTGGCATGTCGTTGAGAGTTACAGCATTCCTGGTTAATCGTTATCCATTTGTTGCCCGTTGTGCCAGCTTGGAACGCTCACTGGGAACTCACCTTAGAACCAGGCTTTGCAGAAGTATCTATTTCCCTAGTTACCCTTATCATAGCTCTGTCCTTGGTGATGATTAGCCAAACCCAACGTGTCATGTCTTACTCCTCTATTCTGAAGAGTTTGGGTACCCATTACAGGTTCCCTAGAATTTGCCCCCAATTGACTGTGTCCCACAATAGGTAACTCTGGAAATGACAGGCAGCCTGCAATGTGGTTCTCCCGCCCGTCGATTGGGCTCTGCAGGAAGCTCCGCCTCTCCGAGTTAGTCTAGGTTGGCAGTTGGTCCGGCGCCGGTGAGTGGCAGCTCTAAGCTCCGCCTCAGCCGTCCGCTGCGCTGCCTGGGCCCGCTGGGTTTCCAGTTGAGAGATGGCGGCCGCCGCAGGTAGATCGCTCCTGCTGCTCCTCTGCTCCCGGAGCGGCGGCGGGGGCGCCAGCGGCTGCGGCGCGCTGACTGCCGGCTGCTTCCCGGGGCTGGGCGTCAGCCGCCACCGCCAGCAGCAGCACCACCGGACGGTGAGCAAGCGCGCCCGGCGGCTGCGGGGAGGGCGGGGCGGCCAGGCCGCCGGGCGGGCCGCGGGCGAGTTCCCTCAACTCGCGGCCGCTCCCGGGGTTGCCGGGCACCGGGAGCCGCCGTGCCCTTCAGGCGCCTGCGGCGGCGGCGGCCAGGAAGGGCGGGCGGGCTGGCGGGCGGGCGGAGGAAGCCGGAGGAGGAGGAGGAGGAGGAGGAGGGGCGACAGCGGGGATGTTCCCGCAGGACCGGGGACACCGGGCGGGGAAGGGACGGCGCTGGCACCTCTGCCCGACCCGCCTCCCGCCTCCCGCCTCCCCGGCCGCCCTGCCCGCTCCCGAGCCGAGCCCCGCGGACCTTCTCTCCGCCCTGGTGTCCGGAGCGCCGCGGCCGCCCGTGTCTGTCGTGGAGTGAGTGGCAGTGCCACGCTGGCCCCGGGGAGCAGCCCAGGACCCCGGCGCCCGCTCTCCCGACCTCTCCCCGGCCTGCGGGAACGGCCAGGAAGGAAAAATCAAACTTTCTCCCCCTCTGACTTGTGCATGTGTGCGCTCGGGAACAGCTTTCTGGAGATGCGTGCTGCATTGCTTCAGGAGACCGGCTCGGTCCCCTTGGGTCCTTCGGGTCCTCCTCGGTGGTCCTTTCCCAGGGCGGCGGAGGAGCTTCGCGCGAGCCTGAGGGAGGACGGGCGGTGAGCGGCAGGCGGCGGAGGAACGGCTGTGACAAGTTCACGGACGGATTTGGTGGTTGTGTTAACCGCTTATTGCTAGGTTTCATTGGATGGCAATGAAAAGGAGTATCTGTTCGAACAGACTTGGGGTGTGTGCCGGAGGGGGGCGGCGGAGGGAGAGGGAGGGATATTTTTATTTTTTATATTTTTTTGGTCATTTGCAAGAGATCAACTTGGCGCGGAGCTCTTAACCTAACAAGTCAGTAGGTTCCCGTCTGTGGACTTTCTAGACCCACAGGCTTTGGTCTCTGGCCACCTCTGAGAGGCTGAGTTTATTTCCTAGGGCTAAGTTGTACAGTGTGGTAATAAGAGGATCACTGCAGACAGCCTGACAGAAGAAACCAGCGCCTTCAGCCCTCCGCAAACCCGTCCCTCGCCCAGGCTTGATCACCTAGCTTTTAAGGAAACAGTTGGAGGTTTTTAGAGAGGGCTCCCCGAGACCCCTCATGGGATAAAATTGCCCAAGAGCTATGAAAAGAACTGATGCTCTGGGCATGCAGATAGTATTGCTATTATTAGTCGTAGTTATGGATCATACTCTCTTCTGAGAAAATTGTACTTTTTCATATTTGGCATACTGGCATATTGCTTATGCTTTGCTGAAGCTTTTGGGTGAGAGCTGAGCTTTCCCACAGTTCATTTCAGATTTACATGTGTCATAGCCTCTAGTTGCATGTTTTGTTCTTTTAAGAAACATAAGGTCATGCATCCAAAAATCTTATTGCATTCCTTTTTTCCCCGAACTATTAAAGATTCTCCAAGTTGTCTTTATTTCTGTTTCTGATCAGATATCTGATATTCTGACTTTGCATAGTTTGCTGTTAATGCTGCCTGGGTATGGTATTGACATAGCATCTAAAAATTTGTGCCTCATATTTTTCACTACGTGAATCCATAAGGCTGTGAGTGTCTTCCTCGTGGGGATACTTCCTGCAGGTGTCCAGCTCTGCGGCGGGGTTCTAATGGGATGTTGCTGCAGGGTAGAGTGTTGTCCTGTGCATGGTTACTTGTAAGTGTACTTAGAATTGTAAGATTTTGAAAAAATTGAACTTGATTATTTAAACATAGCTCAGCGGTCTAAGCGCCTGCCTGGCAAGCTCACGAACTGGGGTTCAATCCCCGGTACCGCATGCTGTGTGGGTCCCTCACCAAACCAGCCACCAAAACTGGGCTGGTGACAAATGTCTGTAATTCCACTGCTGGGGAAGCTGAGACAGGAGGATCACTACTAGTCTGAGCTGCGTATCAAGAGCCTGTACAAAATAAATAAATAAATAAATAAATAATAAAGTATGTAAACTTGTTTTTATTTTTCTGCAGTTATATCATCATGCATTAGCTGGATCTACCTGATATTTCTATGATTCCTCAAAAACATTCAAATTGTTAGAGTTTGGATCTTGATATTTCATGCCTAAAATTGAGGCCCAGATCACAGAGCTGATGTGTAACAGGACTCCTACATACCCGACACACTAGGACTCCTTTTATATATATATTTTTTCTCGTACATTGCTACTACTGCTTTACATTTCACATTCCTTATAAAATTAACTATTAGGAAATTATTGTATTTCAAAACCCCATGAATAGGAATCTAAGTAGACATCATGTGAAGCATATATGTAAGGTGAATGTGTGAATAAGCAATTTGCCAGAAACATCTTGCAAAGATCTCTCTTAGAAGGTCCCTGAGAGGTGACAGCGAGATTGAAGCTTGCCTGGAGACATCCTGTGTGTGTGCAGCAGATGGCAGTCTGCGGTGGACTGGATCACAAGTCCAGCTTGTCAGCTTGTGCCACTTTTATTCTGCTGTAGTAGGTATGGTAAATTAGAGCTGGTGCAGGGGAGCGGGGCTTGCCAGTTAGAGTACTGCTTAGTTTTTGTTCAACAGTCCTCTTTTTTTTTTTTTTTTTAATTCTGTTTTGAAATTCATCTTTTCTGAGTTGAGAAATAAGTTAAAAGTGGTACATTAGTGTTCATCTAATTGGCAAATGCCATTGCAAAGTGGTACTTGGCCCCTTTACCTTCCATTTAAACATCTTTGATGCCCAGGCTGGCCTGTAACTCCTGGGTTCAAGTGCTCCTCCTGTCTCAGCTTTCCAAGTAGACTACAGGTACACAGCACTAGGACCTGCTTTAAAACCTCTTTCAACTGAGTAAACTGGAGTAAAGGTGTAGGGGTTTTTCAAAATTTTAGCACCGTTAGTGTCATTTCTCCTTACTGTGTGAAGAGCTTGTTAGTGCTCTCTAGCCAGCGAACAGAACTTAGTGTGAGAGAATGTTTGTTGTATGCCTTATGCCTTTCTGTATGGCTAGTGAAGGTGGCTGCTCTTTTCTAGGGTGATTCTTTCAGGGGGAGCTGCCTTTCTTTGTGGACTGTGTAGTTCCTTACCTAAATCAAACTGTCTCTGATTATGACAGCTTTGAAGTATGGCATTTCCTAGTGGTCAACTGCTGTGCTGAATTACTTAATCTCTTACTTAGGTCCGTCATTGTACTGTTATGGTTTGCGGCTGTCCCTTTTTACACACTGCAGTCTTTGGCAGTGACTGTTTCAGTTTAACCTCAGGGTTTAACAAGCTTACATGCCTGGGGAAGGCAAATTGTTTTTTAATTGAGTCTATCATAGTCTGGCTCTATCTTCATTTGCACAAGTACTCCCTGTACTCAAGTTAGTCTCTGCTCCATCCTCAAATGTCACATACATCCACACTAATTGCTTATGCATTTTTTTGGTAGCGAAAATTCAGCCTTGGTCACCCCAGTCACCCTAATCTCTAAGGTTCATTTCAGGGTAAAGGCTGTGACCTATATCTCTTTTTCTGTTATTGTTTTGGCTTGCAGTAGTAGGAATTGAACCCAGGAGCAATCTATTACTGAGCTACATCCCTATCATTTTTAACTTTGAGGTGGGATGGTGATTCTCCTGCTTCAGCTTCCTAAGTAGTCATGTACCATTGCATCCAGCTAGAACTGCATTTGAATTTAACACCCTTGACTTACAGGATTACAGACTGAATCAAGGCCCTGCACAGTGGTGCATGCCTGTGGTCCCAGCACTCAGGTAGCTGAGGCAAGAGGATTACTGTGGGCTTGAGTCCAGCCTGGGCTACAAAATGAGTTCAAGGCCAGCCTGTGAGACCCTGTCTCATCAAGACAAAAACAAAACAAAAAGAAAAAACTGAGTGAAGCGACTTGTTAGGCTATGTTTGTGATTAATAACAGACCTAAGATTAAAATTGCTTTCAATGGAGGTGGGATCAATCAAGAAGTCCTAGATGAATCTTCATTTGTGTGATTCCCAGCTCTTAATCCCTTTCCATACTATTCTGTTTTCTCTGAACTCTGATAGAATTTATCTCCAGGATGCAGATTGACACTGACTTGTCTAGTTCTGTAAATGTTTTCTTTTTGGGCACGTTATCTTACTGAGAGACAAGACAAAGATGTGTATCTTGTTACATATCTCGCTGATTTGTTGAATAGTCTGTTGCCTAGCTAGCCAAATTTGGGTAACTGCTTTAAGTATAGTTTTGCCAGTGCTGTCTTTGGCTCGGTATTACACTTCTGTAGTGTGAATTGGTGAACAGAGTTGGTGCCATTGGATTAGCTCTTTTTTTTTTTGGTGGAACTGGGGATTGAACTCAGGCCCTTGCACTTGCCAGGGAAGCACTCATTCTACTGAGCCATCTCCTTGGCCCCGGATTAGCTCTTTAGGGCTCACTAACTTTCAATGTGCAATGCACCCAGGATAATTGTGCAGATTATTACAAATATATGTTTGAGTCAGATTGAACTACCACAAAAGCCAAACCAATGTAAAACAAAAATCTGTCCTCTGTAGGTTAAAAACAAAAGGGAAATAATCCACTTATTTCTATGTAGTTTGTTAAATGCTTACAGTGAGCCAGCCTGTGAAAAATGAAAATTGACTTAAAGCAAATTAATTTTAAAAAGTGTAGTGAATTATCGACCCATAAATTGTGCGCAGGCTTGAATCTTTTATATTGATAAAAATATAACTTGGTAAATTACATCACCAACTGGGTCTAATAACATGCTAAGGCTAAACTTTTTGTAATGCATTTCTGGAGTAACGGGGTAATGTGACATTGTATCTTAACATTTCTAAAAGCCTTTAGCTGGGTGTGGTGGTGCATGCCTGTGACTGCAGCATTCTGAGCTGGAGGATCTTGGCAAGTTCAAGGCCAGTCGGGGCTACATAAGTCTGTCTCAAACAAACAAACAAAAGAATCATTATGTTGGTTTCAAATT